CTTCCCACCCACCCACCCACCTTTCACGTGTTCAAGGAACTGTTAAACACATAGTTTGTTTCAGGAATTATTGCTAGAAATTGAGGCTATGAAGATGAATAAGTTGTGGTTCTCACACCCATGGGGCTTACATTCTAGAAAGAATAGACATGCATATAACCAAGCAAGTGCTGTAGTGGGCTGTAGTGCTATAGCCAGGAGTAGTGGAGCACTGAGGAGGGCATGGTCTGACTGTATGGCTGGGGAAGTGGTTCAAAAAAGACTTTATGGAGGCGGAGGTCATCACTGAGCATAATCTAGAAAGACTGTGTGGTTCATGAGGCAGATCAGGAGTGGAAATCGTATTCTGGGTAGAGCAATATGGCCAAGGCACAGAAGTATGAAGAGGCCTGGCCCAGTGGGGACGCCTCAGGCAACGCAGCAAGGCTGGCATATGGGTGAGTGTTGGGCTGAGGGCAGTGCTCTGTGCTGAGGGAACAACCCTGATACGTAGCAGCTGAGTGACTGAAGAATTCTCCATTCTCATAACCATGAATCCTGCATATGCAGTGAACACACATCCCTAGTAGGTGTAGCCCCTGCCAACTTCATGCCCTCCCCTCCCCTCCCTGGCTTAAGTGCTGCCTCGGTGGAAGAGCATTTTTAGTGTGTCTGTGCCTGCCGATGCACCATTATAATCACATCTTCATCGGGACACAATTTCTTGGGCAAGTGCTGTCGGCGCCGCCGGAAGTGTGTTCCCAGCAAATTGCCTCGGTGTGTGATTTGTTGATTGAAACAGGGAGAGGAGAAGTGTTCCAGGAATGCAAGTGGGGAGGCGGCTTTACCCAGAGGAGGGAGCTTGGGCTTTGGAATCACGTAGGCCTGACTGGGACATTTCACCTCTCAGAGCTCAGGTTTCCTTCTGTCGTTCCAGCCCTGGGTGAGGCCATTTAGGTGTGCCTTTGTCTTTTCCTGTCCAGGGACTGGGCGGGTCCAGCACCTGACTTGGGGTCCTCAGGACATAGTACTGGGGGTCCAGACTCCTCCAGCCCCTTTCTCTGACCAGCATTTTCAGCTCTGTAAGCTGGAAAGTGGCAACTTGCATTCCAGACTACATCTCCCTCCTTCATTTCTCCCCCTTCTCCTCCTCTTTCTCTTTTTCTTTATCTGGTTGAAAAATCCAGTAAAGGCCAGCAGGACTGACCTTTCTCGATGCTGAATTGGACTGTCTCAGAGCTGCTGGGTACTGCTGTGCAGGGTATGTACTGCACAATTGCAAGAGGTTCTACTCACATGGACTAAGGTATATGAATGATGCCTTCTCAGAGTGCACAGGGGCAGCCCTGAGCTGCCTGTTTCCCAGTACTGCAATCCCATCTGGGGCTTGACTCTGCTCCTCGGCGAGTCATCTATCTTCAATCTCCATCATCCCACTCTTCCCTTTAACCTATCAGGGTTGCCAAATATATATATATATATATTTTAAGAGATGTTATCTATGTATTACTTTTAGTTTCACAGTTTCAGTTCCTCCTCACAATCATTCTCCCCTGAGCGGCAGCTGCAGCATGTTGACAACCCCACAACCGACCCTCCACCGGGAGGCCCCTGGAGGCCTGGCGAAGGTATCAGTATGAGCCCCAGTTGTCTCTCCCCTTTGGGACTCTACTGTGGGTACTGACTGTACGGGGGCTGGGGATTCACAGGGAAGAACCAACCCCGGAGCCCCCTGCTCTCAGGAGCTGGATGGATTTCCTCCCTGTGCTTGTGACATTGGTGATGAAGGCTCTGGCTGCATCCCTCAGAGCCTGAGCTGGCCCAGCAGGAATATCTGTGCTCTCCAAGCAGCTGCCATAAAATTCATCTTTTATTGTCCCCTTCCTGTATCTTTTCAGTGTGGGAATGGTGGATGTTAACGGGCATAAAACACGGGTGGCTTCTATGGGATTCTGCCAGCATGAGATGTGGAATCTAAAGTTTATGCTCTTTTGAGTCACTCAGCTCTCAGAGGCGAGGGTGAGTTCTCAGGTCCAGTCTCTGTAGCTCAGCTCTGTACCCATGGGGGAGACTGCTTTGTATCTAAGTTGGTTCTCTGGTGTTGGTGTTTATAAAACTGCATTCCATAATTCCCCAAATAATTATTTTTTATGGGAGGCTCATTAGAGTTTTAAAAACCCATCTATTACCATATGTGAATCCTTCAAGCTGTGGCTTTGCAGCCCCCATCCCTAAAAATGCTGCAATCCTGGGCCACATGTCTTACATGGGTTGGAGCTACTTTACAGTCTTATTCTTTTCCACTGAATGATTTCAGTTGTGAATGGCTGAGATGGTGGTCTTGTGTAGCCGCCAGCATTTGTTTTAAGGTCTATGGTGCACATCAAGAAACACTTTGAAGGGAAATTGGGCAGATGCTGCCCTTCATAGAGGTAATCTTAAATGCTTTGACCATTAGGAAGGATTGCAATGGAAAAATAAATTCAATACCTGCCTGCTCAAAGTCATTTGTACCTGTCATAGACTGAACTGTATCCGCTTCTCCCACAATTCATGCATTGAAGCCCTAACTTCCAAAGTGACTGTGTTTGGAGACAGGGCCATTAAGGAGGTAATTGAGGTTAAATAAGGCCAGAAGGGTGTCCCTTTAAGAAGAGCAAGAGACATCAAAACTCTCTCTTTTCATGTGAGTACCGAGGAAAGGCCATGTGATGACACAGCAAGAAGGTGGCTGCTTGCAAACCAGGAAGAGAGCCCTCACCAGAAACCAACCCTAGTGTCCCGGTCTTGGATTTTCAGTCCCTAGAACTGTGAGAAAGTAAATGTCTGTTGTTTAAGCCTCCCAATCTGCAGCATTTTGCTATGGCAATCCAAGCTGACTAAGACAATGTCTCTCTGGACAAGCACATTTCAATTTTTGAATTAATAAAGTCTCAGATCCCAGAAACTCCATGGCTTCTTGATCATTGCTCATTAGGGACTCTTCTTCCTGAAGGTCATACCTTAGGGGACTGGGGCTGACAGTGAACTCACACTTGAATGTGTCCCTTACCACTAACCTACAGCCAGGAAGGAATTTGACAGTAACACTCAAGTAAAGGGTTCAATTTCTAGATAGTTCACAAGTGTCCTAATGCATATGACCTGTAAGTTATAGTTATTACTCCCATTTTGCAGAAGAAGAACATTGTGTCAAGAGAGGTCATGTAACCTGCCACAGATTTCACAAATGGTGGAGACTAGTCCCTAACATCTGTTTCAGGTCTGGAGTTATGGGTTTTAAAAACCTGACTAGTTTCCCCAAACCCTCTGAACAGGAGTTCATCCTTGATCCTGCAGTCCTTTCCCAGGGCCTGGAGTTTCAGGTTAGGTTTGGGTCACTGCCCCTGGTACATGGGTCTGCCGGCCTGCCTGGACTGTGGGGTGTGGCTGCAGAGAGTGGACTGCCTGTCAATTTCACCCAAGAGGGTGGGTCTGGTCTCAGGCATTATTTTCTCCCAAGTTTTCCTGTCTTCCTAGTTGGGCCCTGAGAAGAGCATGCTCCCTCACTTTCCCAGTGGGGGCCCAATGGAGAGACATTAATATCCACACAGGACACCATGTGGGATACCAGAAAGGATCTTGTGGGAATAATAGAAGCAGGAAGGGGCAGGTGATGCTGTGAAGAGAGCGTGGATCTTGGATCTGGGCAGATCTGGATTCTAATTCTCAGCTGTACCTTCATCTCTAGAAGGGGACACTAGTACCACTCCACCGATTTGCTGTGTGGACTGAATGGAATGGTGTAGGAGAGTGTTAGCACAATGGAACACAGCGGGTTTTTAGTCAGTACTTGGGGGTAGCATGGTGTGGTTAAAAGACTGGGCTGTGGCCTTGGGCAGACTTGGGTTTGAGGTCTAGCTCTCTCACTTATTGGCCCAGAGTCCCCATCTGTAAATTGTGAATAATTACAGCATGTATCCTACTGTTAGAGAAGTTCTATATTTCATCAGTTATCAGATGCATATTTTTCTACATCCTAACATGTTTGTAACACTTTACCAATGGTAATAGTTTACCATAAACTAAACACAAACTCATAGCATTATCTTTTAACTGGTAGTGTTTTTATTTCCTACTGTCATGTAAAATAACATGGCCATTTACTGTTGTTATTGCTACCTTAGATTTGATGAAATCTAGCAAAAGAACTCTTGTGAATGGCTCAGCACAGAGCCTGGCACAGAACAGGAGCTCTGTCTGTTGTTATTATTGCCTGTGGGACCATGAGTAAACTTAAAAATATCATTGAGCTTTGGTTTCCTCGTCTGCACAGTAGGTATACTTATCTCTATAGAGTGAGAGGGAGTATTAAATGAGATTAGCATGCAGACCGAGGCTGTCATTGCATTTGGCATATAACAGGAGCTCCAAAATGTCCTCCTTCTCTCTAGGACTGTACTCAGGGAACTCCTACACTCCCTTTTGGATTTTGGGCTTGGGTGGGTGGGATAGGGAAGGAAGAAAAGAGAATTTGGCAAACCTGACCTCTTTGTCCCAGCTGGTCAAACTGTCTGCTGCTCACTGTTGCCCTCTAGTGGTCTCAAGAATCAGGCAGGGCTTTTTAACCAGATGGGAATATTAGGAAAGAAAATGGTGGCAGACAAGCAGGCTCAACTTGAGGAAGACCTTGACGGACGACCTGAAGCCCAGCTTTGGGGACTTCAACTAAGAAGATAAAACCTGCTGAGCCTTCTGCTGAGGTTCACTTTATATCTGAGTGTGGCTGCTGGGAAAATTCCCCAGATCACAGATCTGAACCTGAGAGGCCACTCCTCAGACTCCACCTGCCTCTTAGGACAGCACATCTCTATGCTGGAGACATAGTGAGAGAGCAAGCTCTGAATGGCAAAATGGATTGGCAGCATCTCATCTCTTGTATGCCCAAGAGACCACAGTCTGGATTGGGATCAACCAGACCTGGTGTCAAACTCTGGACTCTGGAGGACCAGGGCCATGTGACTCCCTTCTACAGGTCTCAGTGTCCTTATCTGCAGAGCTAATGCATGTATGAGGGGGGACCCCCCAAAACTGGAATTTACTTATAAAAAATTGAATATTTATTCTTGCATGTTTAAACTTCAGTTACCTTCAAAGTACCTCTGCTTAATGCAGTCAAGCTATTGAGATGCTTTTCCCACTGCTGGAAACAGTTTTTGAACTTGTCAATTTTGATGCTTTTTAGTGCGTCTAATGCTTTTTTGTTTCATCTCTTCCACATTGGCAAAATGTTTCCCTTTGAGGACTTTTTCTTCCAGGGAAGCAAAAAAAAAAAAAAAAAATTGCTCAGGGTGAGACTGGGTGAATAGGGAGGATGGGGCGTGGGGGTCATGCTGTTGTTGGTCAGAAACTGCTGAACACTCAGCATGGTGCGGGTAGGTGTGTTGTCATAATGGAAGAACCAGTCGCCTGTTGGCCACAACTCAGGGTGTTTCTTCCGCAAATTGTGATGCACAACAACGCTAGCTGGTACGCTGATGCCAATGGGTTCCTACAACACTTACGCAGCGGGAGGAGCCTCTACTACAAGAGGCTCGCCCTCCAGAAGATAATTCTGGTTTATTTGGAGCCCCTCTCCTGTAGGGTCTATCATGGAGTCAGTGCTGGAAAATGTTAGGTTGTCTACTCTAGTTCCCTCTTCCCGAACTCAGGTGCTTTGGAGAGCATCAGAAAGAATCGTAAGCAGCCGGGCTCGGTGACTCAGCCTGTAATCCTGCGCCTTGGGAGGCTGAGGTGAGTGGATTGTCTGAGGCCGTGGGTTCGAGACCCGCCTGGGCAACTTGGCGAGACATCATCTCTACCCAATAAATCAAAAATTAGCCGGGCGTGGTAGTGCGCGCCTGTAGTTCCAGCTACTTGGAAGGCTGTGGCGGACGGATCGCTGGAGCCCAGTGGGTCGAGGCTGCGGTGACTGGGAGTGGCCACTGCACTCCAGAGTGAGACTCCAACTCAAAAAAAAAAAAAAAAGAATCGTAAGCAATATTGACTTCAACCACAAAATGCTCTGATGTCTTCCCTGCTGCTCTAGTGAAGTAGTCTTTGAAGCAAAGCTTCCCCTGCAAGCCTGTAACAACGCAGATGCAAACTGTTAGACCACGAGGAAGTCCTGGCTGCTCACTTTTCAAAGAGTAAATGACCTTCATTTAAGCCCTTTGCTTGACTCCTTGAGATTGTCCCATAGCCTTTGGCTCTCCTACTTGGTGATGGGGAGACAGGCAGATGGAAGCACTACAAAAGAGGGTGGAAGGGTGGGGATAGGGAGAAGCCTGGACCTTCTGGTCCAGGTACTTTGCACAGATTAGCATGAGGTAGGCACTGTTGTTATTCCTGCTGTACAGATGAGGAAATGGAGAAAGAGACGTGAAGAAACTTGCCCATGGTCTCACTGTTGGCTAACGACGGAGTCAGGATTCAGACTTGGACAGTCTGGTGCTGAAGCACTGCACTACTATCCTGTAGTTACTACACCAAGGTGGCCCTCCTTGGCTAATAGCAGGTGGCAACCATTACCACCTAGTTAAGAAGACCTTGTTATCAGAGACCCATTGAGAGATTTCTGCATGTCTCAGAATGCTCCCCTGAAGGTTTCCTCTTGCTCTCTCAATAACAGACAGGCATATTATCACCATTTTACAGATGAGAAGACTGAGGCTCACAGAAGCAAAGTGATTTTCTTAAGATCATTTAGCAAGTCAGAGGCAGGACTGAACAAGAACCCGAGTCTTTTGACTCCAGGTCCTACTACATTAGCTTGGTGACCTTGGGCAAGTTAGTGAACCTCTATGAGTATCGGTTACCTGTATGTGAGATGGGAATATTAGTCTCCATTTTGGAGAGTTTTTATGAAATAATATAGGAACAGAGTCTTGCACATTGCTTATATTACATATAGCAGGTACTGGACAAGCAGAAATCCTGCCCTTTATCATTGGCAAAAGAGGGCAGAAAAATTGTGTTTGCCTTAAGAAAATCCAGTCTGTGAAATTCACCCAACCTTGGGTCAGGGCAGGCATGATTTCGATTATTCAAGGATCCGTGATTTTCACAAAGGGTTTATCCAGAGTCCTTTAAGTGGCAGCTACATGTGCAGGCTGCCATGCCTGTTTACGAATCATTAGCTACTTGACGGTGACGTTAGTGGGAAGAGAGAAAAAGCAGAGCCTGCGTTATCGAAAGCCAGTGCTAGGAGCCACCAATGGCTAGAAATCAAATGGGACTGTAGAAAAAAATAGGTCTGAAAGAGTAACCCAAGAAAAATATTTCATTTATAAATACCTATCTTACCTTTTCTCCCAGAAACCCATCCTTCTGTTGTTCAAAGCAAGATATAAATACACAGAGTCAGGCACCCCCAAATGCTTTCCCTTCAACTTTAAAAGTGCAGTGACAAGTGATTGGAATGAGCCTTCACAATGTAAGTTGCCAAGGTTGTAATTGTTAATTCTTCTGGCTGTAATTTATCCTGCTATCCCTTTGGGTAGCTAAACAGCTTTGATCACGAGTCACCCAATTGGCTTATAAGTCTTCTTGATGAATCACTCTCATTCTCTCAGTCTTTTCTCTGAGCTGCGGTAATTCTTGACAACTGCCTTAGAGCCTGTGTCTCCTGTGGATACGGAAGGGAAGAACCATCTATTAGAAGGAACATGTGGAGAACAGAAAGCTCTTGGCATTGGGGAGGTTGGCAAATGGAGGCAAAGCCCTCTTCTCAGGACGAAGAAGACAGAGGACAGGATGATGGACACAAATTTCTGCCTGATCACTTCCAGGGTATGAAAGACCCCTGCTTGTTTGGGGTCTTTGGATTGGGGTGGCTGGGCAAATTCTTCCCACTGAGCTCCAGTGGGTGTGCAGAACATCTTCATTAAGAAAGTGCCACATGCTAAATTGTGAATTCATTGCACAGATAAACTGGAGCAGTGTGGCAGTGACTGTGAATGTTGGAGTCCTTTTCTTGCTGGAGTGATTGCCTTTCCCAGCCTCCCTTGAATCTACCTGGGACATGCAACCAGTTCTCACCAACAAAATGTGGTAGAAGTGGTGTTGAACCCCTGGGCTGAGGCAGTTAAAAATAGATGGTGCCCCCTTTCCCCAGCTGATGGCTAAAGAGAGACAAGGCTGTAAACCTAGAGGAGGACAGAGTCACAAGATGGAAGAAGCCTGGGTTCCTGAATGGCTTCATGGAGCAGAGCCCAACTGCCAACTGCATTGGACTGAACATGGAGTGAGGGAATACATTTGTATTGTGTTAAACCACTCTATTTCAGGGTTGATTATTATAGCTGTTAGCCTCCCCTGTCTAATGCAGGCAATACTTTATTTAACAGAACTCAAATTCTCTAATTTAAGAAGATCCCAGGTGGCAGTCTATTATAAGTTAGCAGGGTAGTTTCTATTAACTAGATGGCATACTGTAATTCATCTCTGATAGCAGTTGTATTTAGCTTATGAATTAAATAATATTGGTTATATGGAATCTTAATTTTTAGACCTGATAAATTATTCCTGTTGGAGGTTGGAGGGAAGAACATGCTCTTTTTATAAAAGGTCCTTGACCCCTCTTCCCTCTCCCTTATTCTCCACAGAATATGTAAGAAAGACCTACAGATTCCATCTCCCCAAGACACTGCAAGGGTGCTCTCTTCTCCACAAATTTAAACTGTCATCCTCTCTCTCCTAGACTACTGAAACAGGTTCTTAACTGGTCCCCTGCTTCCCATTTACTCCCTTCCAATGTGGCTACCATCCAATCTTCCTATGATGCAGACCCAATCATGTCACCATCCTCCCTAACAAAATCCAAGCTCTTTTTCTTCAGAAGATCCTTCCTGATCAGCCTTGCTACTTTATTCCCATCTTCCCCCAAGCCACCAGGCTCTCATATAGCCTCTCTGTCATTGCTTTTCTGCCTCCCTGCCCAGACTTTCCTTTCTGTTTGTCAGCCTGCAACCATCTACCCCGCTTTCAGGGTTCAGTTCGTGTGGTTCTGCCAAGAAGCCTCCATTTCCTCTGCCTTTGGACACTGGTGTCCAGACTTGTGTTTCATCCCAATACCTGCAACGCTTTATTGTATTTATTACTTGACATGCCCACCCCCTGCTGGCCTTCAAGCTTTTGGAGAGGGAGGAAGGGGATTGATTTATCTTCCCCAGAACTGGCCCAAAGCTGGGGCTCAAATGATTAACACCTGGACTTTTGCCACAAGCAAGTTACCAAGGCAGCTCTCCCTCCCTGGGCCTCAGTTTCCCCATAAGTAAAGTTAGGAGGTTGCTCATCAAGGGAGAGTCTTTGATGGTCTCTAAGGGCTTTTATAGTTTCAGCATTCTGGGGTTCTATGATTTTAACACTAACACAGCGCAGTCATGTGAGGGAAATCAATACTCAGAGTTTTTCCTGTGTGCGAGCCACAATTCTTCAGAAGACTGTCCTTGGGGGTGCGTGTGGCTTTCAGCTTTGCCTGACGCCAGAGAGAATTTATCATTACAGAAAAGCTTATGGTGCAGGTTTAGCAAATGTGGCGTCTCAGGCTTTCCGGCGCTTCATTTATCAAGTAAACACAACTTCGTTATTTAGACTTCAGTCCCTTGGCTTATAAACTATCGTTCAGATATAAAAACTAGGGTAAGATGTCCTCTTTTATTGACCCTGATGAGAAATGGGCATGATCAATTATGCCTCGGCATGGGAGGAAAGGCCGTTTGCAGGTTTGCAACTTGTTACACGGCTGCTGTCATTCAGGGTATGTTATGGGGTCGGCAGGAGGGATTCTCCACATGCTTTGTGCCAGGCCGTTAGCAGGCTCAGGGAGTCCCATCATCATTGGTCACGTGGCTGTGGGCATGTTCCCTTCCCTCCACCCAGCCCATGTCAGCCACTGGGGTTGAGGCTCTCCTCTAAACATTATCTAAGGGGGATGTTGGGGTGGTTCACCCCTCTCGTAGTGCTCCAAGAATATGATGCAGGAGAGTTGATTGTATCTAATGGAGTTACATTCATAGGTTTCACGAATGAAAACAGTGAGAGTTCAGTGCTTGTGTTGTGACCCTGGAAGCCTCCCTGCCAAATGCCTGGTCTTGGACACTTTGGATTTGGTCCCTGACGTCTGCACGTGCAGGGATTCCTTGGGCATCCTCTACTCAGTGCCAGTCACCCAACTCACTCTGACTCTGGGGAAGCTCCTCACCTCTTAGCTCCAGTTGCCGCCTTTTCCTCTCTCTCCTTAGGGCTACTCATTCCTCAATTACCATTTCTGGTTTCCAAGGGCCTCTGGAGTCAACCACTCTTCTGAGAACTTCCTGCTCCCCTGTCTACTTCATATCCCTATATTATTGCTGAATTTTATGATATGCCTTTCACAGTTCTATCTCTTCCAGGAAGCTTTTCTAGCTTCTCCTTCCATTCTTCTTAACTCCTGTCACACTGCCAATCTGATTACTGAGTGCCTAGTGGACACAGCCCTGTGCTATCGCTTATCTTTCTATAATATGGTATGTTTCTATCTGTCCCAAAGGCCACAGGGTCTTTGGGAACAGAGCCTGCCTGCCTGGTGGTGGTTCTTTATGACCCCAAATTCACCTGGTACCGGACACCCTG